GAGATGAGGCTACATATTGTGGACAGCTGGAATTGTTCATATGTCAGAGCAGGAAGACTAGAAGCTTTGGTGTGTGGAGAGGGTGCTGGGGTCTGATACGATCTTACCAGTGTCTTTAAGGACAGAACTCTAGTGACAGCATAGAGCATGGGCTGAGGTGGTGGGTGGAGATAGAGGGACTAGTCAGGATGTTCTTGCAAGATTTGAGTTGAGACTTAATGAGGGGCAGACATAGGGCTGCAGAAAAAATGGAACCTTAGGAACACATTGGTAGACTCCAGCAGGATACTGGGTGGGAGACAGTGAGAAGGAGATGCTGGAACTGAAACATTTCTGGGATTTCAGGCGTAAGTGGCATCTAGCCCAGTTCTGATTGTGGTCAATGGCTTCAGTAGCAAGAAGGACCAGGTTTGTATGGAAGGATGGGTTCAATTCAGGACCTGTTGAGTCTGAGGTCTACAGAACATCTGGTTGGAAATATGGGCCTGGGGCTTGGGAGATGAGTTGGCTGGAGGCAGATGGAAAGTCATCCTCTTAAAGACCACAACTGAAACTGCCCAAATAGATGAGATCATTGAGGAAGAATAGGCAGCATGAGACAATACTACCATTATTAGTAACCATTAAAAGAATCTTCTTATGTGCTTGGGAGATCTTGACTGATCGGGCAACGAGCATCCGACAAAATGAAAACATCGGAGTGTAAGTCTTGTGTTGGCTTTTACATGTATCCTCTCATTAATTCTCTCCAGAACAGTGTGGTGTAAAAAAAAAAAAAAAGAGAGAGAGAGAGAGAGAGGAGGAGGGACAAATTCTGGTTACAGAAAAAAGTCCCTATTTTCAAGGTTTAGGCGAACGAAGAACTAGAAAAGGGAAGAAAGACCAAGTTTTGTAAAGGTCACGTTAAACCTCCAACAGCCAACTTCTCGTCATCAGACAGATCCTGCCTTCATTATTCCAGGACCCTAGGTGAAGGTCAGGATGCACATGTCAGGAGCTGTGTGACAACCTAAGGGGACATTTGGGAAGTGCCACGTGCATGGGACAAGAAGCGGTATTTCATTATGGATTGGGCTGGATTGAGCTGGTCCTGGAAGGCTCTGAGAGAAAAGACATGTGTGTTGGGTCCTGAAGGCAGCAGAGCTTGGAGAAGTAGAGAGAAGAGCGAGAGGACCATGTAGGTCGAGAGGGCCACAGCCGGGAAGGTCAAGCATTTTCTCTTCACTCATTTACAACTGAAGTGGACCACAAAGTCCCCTACAAACCCATTCTTCTCACGCCCCTGGCTCTATGTTTAACGGTAAATTTTCCACTTACTCTGAATGCTGCTGCTTATCTTTTCATCGGGTTTGGCAAAACAGTGACATATGATCTTCCTTAAACATCAGCATATCTCAGCTTTTCTTTCAGTTTCTTATTTATTTTCATTCCAACATTTATTTACATACCTGTGATTTTTCAGTGTGAGCTCTGTTAATGTCAAATAGTGTTACATTCTGAACTATTGACATTATGCCTGGAGATTTTTAAAGAACAATTAATTCTCAATTACTTCCACGTTAATGGTCCCTGCCCCCCCCCAACTCAGGAGGGGCCCTGTAGCAAGGTCATGTCCCAGATGGAAGTGGACATTTGCTGTTCCTTGGCTTCCCAGCACCCATTCGCCCTTCTGTTCTTAAGAGCACTCTGAATTCCTTGTTGGAGATAACGGGCTCCTTATTATGAGAGTCTCCGTGGGACTGTCAGTCAAGGAACCCTGTCTTCTTGCCAAGAGTAATCACTGACTGAAGTTGGCCAATCAAATTTTATTCTAGGACAGTTCATCTTGAGCAGGGTCACTTAAGGTCTGTTAAAAGAAAAAAATGGAATGGGATTTATTTCAACAGAGATGCTTTGAAGGGATCATTGATTACTTCCTACCACTTAGATAATCCAGAGCTGCCTGGTTCTGCCCTTTGTGAGCCTCATTCTTTAGGTTCTTTCTTGAATTTCTGAGCAATCTGATAACTTTCTAATAAATTAAATAATATAATAGTAAAGATAATATTTATCACTATATATTATATATCATATAATATATATGAAAAGTAAATAAAAATAAAGATACATAAAAAATAACTTGGAGTCAATTTCTATTGTTTAAAAAAATAAGAAATAAAAACAAACCAAAAAATGAACTAATTCGCTGACCCTATTAGAAAATCCACTGTTTCCAGTTGTCAGCCAAAGTTACCTCCATTGCTGTGGGAAATCAGGGGTGATAAGAATGGATAGGAAGGTATCCACTCTCCCCTCTCCACTCTCCTCCATCTGCTGTCTCCCCCAGAGGATGGTTTGAACAGACCGATCAAGAGGCTCCAGTGTTCTCTGGCTCCCTATTGAGTTGGGGTTTTTTTCCATCTTGAAAACAAGGTCTGGGTGTGAGTTTTCTCAGCTCCCACATTAAGAGATTGCCTCAGGTTCGCTGTATCCAACAGTATGCTTATAAATGTTTAACAACTGGCTCTCTGAAAAGGAGGAGGAGGAGGGAGAGTTCTTGTTCGTAGTATTTGCTGATTTCTGCAGTATAGGATTATCACTACAACCTATATGGCTGCCAGTGTGACATCATTTGATAAAGAGTTGGGAAAAGATGCTAGCAATTAGCTTCTGCATGTCCTAGCATGTGGCTGGCAACGTCTCCCTACAGAATAACATGATTCTTTCTCCTTTAGAGTTCCACCAACTTCTCCTCCTGTCATTTTGGGTGGAGAGGTGATCACTTTACTGCCTCTAGCTCTGGGCACTTTCCCTAATCTCTACACACATCTTTGTAAATTGTCCATTTCTAAGAAAACCAACTACACACACACACACACACGCCTCCTCTAATTTGAAAGTGCCATCTTTTTCATGTGGGCATTGGAGTAACCAGCCTCCAAGGTGGCCCCTAAATTTGAATACTTGATCTTCTTATAAACAGTGTGACTTGGGCAAAGTGTCACCATGCAGCAAATACGAATAATGACAGAACCTATCTCAGAGTGTTCGTGTGAGGATTAAATCAGATGGTGTATGCAATGCGCTCAGAACTGTGTCTGATACTTAATAAGTACTTATGCAAATGAGACCTTTGATTATTAAAAATGAATTTTATATCACATTCATATCACAGAGCTATCATTTCGAGACTGTCCTGTTATTGCAGTCTATATTTTCCCAGTCATGCTTTTCCCTCTTCTTCCCCAGAATTATCATTGTGTTGTTGCTGCTCAGCGTAGCTAAATGTACTTGTTTCAATTCCTTCAGGATTTCTCTGATAACTTGAACTGATGCAGCATTTTCTGTTTGCTATAAATTTCTCCACTTACAGGAAAGATTTTTAACATGCATGTACATTCAGGAAAAAAGGAAAATGATACATACTGTTCAGGAGGATTCGGTGTCAAGGAATTAGTAATAAATAAGAGTAGCTGTATCTCAAACAACGTAGTAGATATAAATCAAAGGGAAAGGGAAATAGGAAGTCACATGGCTACAGCTTTTGATTATCCTGATCAGGATTATTTATAGCAAATCTTGGCCTGCATTTCTGTTGAAGGTACTAAATGCATAGAAGAAATGACTTAAAACATCGCCATCAAACTGCCAATGGCTAGGATAACATTCTCACTCCAGAGCCTCAAGGTGAGACTTGGAATGTCAATAATTATGGGAACCACAAGCCTAAAGATAATATAAACAACCCCAGAAACCAATTTCACTGTTCAGAATCCCTTCCCCGTAGCTTCCACTTCAAGCTGAGGGGTCAAGGTTTACGCGCCAAGCCGCTCTCATCTCCAACACTAAGCCACGGCTCTCCCCCAGAGTTTACCCCTACTTCAGCTCTGAAATGCTAGAAGCACTGCCTTGAACGGAAGGGACTTGCTTTTTTAGCAGCATCTGCCAGCCTTATGACTCTTGCTGCAGAATCCTGACAGCAGGACCTGTCACTCATCAGAAATCTGCTCCCCCTTCCCTCCCTGGCCCTTCGATGCTGAAGAGCTTGGCGGTCTTCGAGATGGCTCATTCTCAATGTTTTTTCGCCATCAGGGAAGTGTACTACAGGTCGGACCAGTGACTAAAGAAATACTCAGAGGCCTCAGAAGTCTGTCTCTTTGTGATAATAAGATGAGGAACAGCTCCATATTCCCTCCCCAGCTGCTCTTGAAACCTCAGCCCTGTGTTTATTCACCACTTAGACATGCTTCCTTGACTATCAAAGACTACCTCTTTCTCTCCTGAAACCTAAAAGCTTATCCCTGCCAAGGCCATAAAACCCTGTCCTTAGAGATTCTGTGGGGACAGGCCAAGGATCAGAAACATAAGCAATCTCACGATGCCCCTCCTTATCCCAGGATTACAGGAGTTTCCCTCTATAATTCCCATCACTAAAATATTTTCACTGAAAAAGACAAGTAATCTTGCGTTTGTCTCCATGGGCTCCCAGGATTGATTTGGTTAGATTTCTGGAGTTGGATATTTTTGTCCTCGAAGTCTTCTTTAAACCAGAAATCCAGTGTAAGGTATGGCTCTGAAAGTCGAGAGGCACCTGAGAAGCTGGACCACCAACCATGGATGGCCACTGACCTCTGGGCAGCGCTAAGGATTTCTTTCACGTGGCCAAGGAGAAGGGATTCTTTTGTAGCTTACAGCATTCGGCCAAGACTGCCGGTTGTGCCCATCTCGAGAGGATCGAGAATCAGGGAAGCTACTCTCTTATCTGTGGGTGTGCTCAATTTCCTTATGCATAGATCAGCATCTTTGTCAAAAAGTGTGGTGCTGGTTTTAGGCCTAGCTTAGTTTGATTACCAAAGGTTCCTTTTAATCAATTGCAAGCAGGATCTGGGTAGGAGTCCAAGAACTAGGTAGAATTATGGCTGAAATTAAATTTTGCTGTTGATTCCAGTAAATAAAAAGAGATATTGATTGGGGCTAGGACAACCTTGATGTTTCCAGTCAGGCTGCTAGTCAATACTTACTGTTCATGTTAGGGTTCAGCATATATATCAATCAGGGTCCTGACAAGAGAAAAACAAAACACTCAAATTAGGATAACTTAGGAAAGTTTATAAGGGACTAACTATAAAAGTGCAGGCAGAGTTAAGGGAACAATATGGATAGGATTAATTCAGATATGGCAGAAGATGGGCAGTTATCATTTTTGGCCCTAAAGGACAAGGCAAGGGAAAGTTATGGAACCTGTAAGGAGAGAGAATCATGCATAGCAAGTGCTTGAGAGGAGCCATGAGCAACCTTTGGATAAGGGTCAGAGCCACCCCAATGAAACCTCTCCCTCTCCCTCCTCCTTTGGATCTCCTGGCAGATTCCCCTTGACTAAACCCATCTTGAAGCCAAAGACATGGAGCCATACAGGGGCAGTCTCTGGGACTGAAAGCAGAATGGAGAAGGATGGGGAGTGAATCTGGAGGAGCCAATATATATTATCTGGCACCCCTGGATTTCCAAAGCACAATAGGATTTCCTTCTACTTACCCTTCTAATCAACCTAATCATGCCTCATCTTCTCTAGGTTTTTCTTAAACATGATGATCTCCCAAGGCTTCACCTCTAAGGACTCCCTCTGGAGTTCCTGCTGTCCCCATCTTTTATCTATGAATTTAATTCTCACCACTGCACGTGGTTCCTAGGAATGTAGCCCCAGCTTCAAGCTAATTCAACTGCCTGCTGGATAACTTGACCCAGATGGCCACTGATACCATAAAATCAATAGGCCCTGAACCAAATCCATAACCTTCCACTACAGAGCTCCAAACTGGCTCCTCCTCGTAACTTATACTACTTCTGTTAATAGGACCGTCATTCTCCCAATTACCAATTACTCCAAGCTCTGTCGTGCTTATCTATGCTATCCTCAGTCATGCTTTTCTGTGCTGTCCTTTTGTCCTCCTCCCCTCTCCCTTCCCCACTCTTTTCCTCATCCTCCCCCTCCTCCCCCTCCTCCTCTTTCTCATCCTCTTTCTCCTCCTCCTTCTTCTTCTCTTCCTCCTCCTTCTTCTTCTTCCCTTCCATTTGTTGCAAAGTCCGTACCTCCTTTCAGTGTGCTTTTCTAGTGTGTGTGCTATCTCATGATTGTCCTGGTTATGGGTCTTAACTTTTTACCTAGGCTGTGTAATAAAGTCCTAAATATAACCCTAGTGCCAATCCATTCTGTACCTATTCCAATGCACAAATATTTAAGTTTCTTGCACCAAGTTGCCTCATTGATTCAGCCATAATTTTTGCCCTTGTCCTCTCTGAAATAGGACATTTGAAGGGAGGGAAATCTTCCAAAAGCAGTGCCTGTAACACATCCCCTTCATTTTGCATGTGACAACCTGAGGCACAGAGAAATTGCTAGTCCATATAACTTGTCCCTCAATCCCAGTGTTCTGATAAGTCTTTGATGACTCTTCCTTACCTTTCCAGTTAGTAGAGCATAAGTTTCGTAGCCTGCTATACCAGGCAATTCCTTCAACATGTTCCCAACTCATCTTTTTAGATGCTGCAATCTGCAACTACTCTACAGAGAGCCTATGCTCTACCTAAAGTCAAAATTCTGGAATACGACTTGCGATTGTCCTCATTAGTGTCTTTGCACATCCCTTCTGCTGCTTGAATTGGCTTTCTCTCCCTCGAGTCCCCTTCTACCTGCTGAACATCTCCCCACCTTTCAGAGCATATGCCCCGGCATTCTTCCTTTCCATCCTCTTTTACAAAGTTCTTTACAAAGCCATTCTGGATTTTCCCCAGCCAAATGTGATCTTTCTCTTTTGTAAATCTCCAAAAAAATTTCCAGCTCTGTTATCTTACCCAAGTCTTTCAAGTATTTGTATTACCCTGCTCGTGGTATGTGGACACTTCTTTTAGCCCTTTATTATATCATAAGCTTCTTCTAAGCATGGCCAATGCCACTCTCTTTTACTTTGTGTCACCTCTGGTGTTAATGCAGTATATTTCACAGAAATATTTTTAATTCTGTAACTATTTTTAAATTTTGACTGTGATATATTTCTTCTGTAGGAACAACTGACTCTGCCCCTACTCCTCCAACATAACTGTGTCTCACGTGTAATCCTCTTGGAAGGGATGAAATTTTGTTGCTATCATTGGTTTCTTGTCTACTAAGATGATGGTATTCACCAGAGCATGTTTCATTCCTCTGCTCCCTTACCACTCTCCTTGTCAAACTGATAGGAGAGAAAGACAAAGGCAGGTTTATTTTGTAAGTGAATTCTGTTTTGCAGTTAAATTGTGTGTGTAATGTATGTTGAAGAAGTGAATGCATAATCGAAAGGATGCTTGCCTGCCATGATGGCTACTAGGCATACTCTGTCTCATTGGATATCTTTTTGTTCAAATCTTACCTTTGCCAATACCTGGCTGAAAGACCTTGGAAAAGTCACTTAAGCTCTTTGAGCCTTAGAAAGCATGGAGTAGGCTGAAAGGTTTCAAACTTTTCTTTTAAGCCAAAGAACTCCTATCAAGCAAAATCTTACTCAGACATGCACTACGTAAACCTGATGAAATCAGAGGCAGAAGTAGTTTGGCTGAAAATTGGGGAAGGAGCTTTTGAGGAATGAGGTGTGACAACTAGCAGACAAGTCCATTCCATATCTAACTCCTCCTTTAAGCACTTTATCAAAGAATACAGTCAACGCTAGAAGATTCACACTAGCACTGACTGGTAGGAGCTTCTAAAATTCTAATTAATCAAGGACATTAAAAATGAGAGACAGATACCACTTCACACCCAATAGGAGAGCTATCATAAGGGGAAAAAAAGCAGAAAATAACAACTATTGGCATGGATGTAGAGATATTGGAATCCTTATTTATTGCTGATGGGAAGGTAAATGGTGCAGCTGCTGTGGAAAACAGTATGGTGTCTTTCAAAAAAAAAATCAAACATAGAATTACTATATAATCCAGCAATTCCACTTTTAGGTATATACCCCCCAAAATGGAAAGTAGAGACTTGAATAGATGTTCATACACCCATGTTCATAGCGGCAAGTTTTCTCTGCAGCCAAAATATGGAAGGAATCCAAGTATCCATCAATGGATGAATGGATGAACAAAATGTATATGCATGCAATGGACTATTATTCAGCATTACAAGGGAATGGAATTCTGACACATGCTACAGTGTGGATAAACCTAGAAGACATCATGCTAAGTGAAATAAGCCAGTCACTAAAGGACAAATATTGTATGATTCTGTGCCTCATACTTATATGTACTACCTGGAATAGGCAAATTCATAGAGACAGAAAGTAGAAGAGTGGTTACCAAGGGCTGGGAGGAGGGAGTAATGCGGAATTAGTGTCTCCTACATACAGCATTTGAGTTTGGGATGAGGGACAGTGGTGACAGTGGCACAGTGGTGAGAATGTAGTTAATGCCACTGAATTATACACTTAAAAATGGTCACAAGAGTATATTTATGGTATGGATATTTTATCACAGGAAAAAAACTCAAAAAATGAGAGGCAGAAATAGAATATATTTATCAGTTTTGGAGTTATTGCAGTACGGAGAAAATCTGCAAGGTGTATATAGAACCCAGAATGAGTTTCAAGATATCTAATGATTTAGGAGTTCTCCATTTTTGGAGAGCGAATTTCTTCAATGCTGATCTCCAGCTAAAGCTCATACTCACTGGACAAAGACCTGCGAAGTTTTCAGTGAGGATCTCAATGGCTTCTAGGGCTAGACAGGCTATTCCTCGTTCCCTACACTGGTCTCCGAAAGTCTAAGTCTCCAGTTCTTATTTTCCACCGGAAGCCAGGAGAGAATTTCAGGAACGAAGCTAATGACTGTGACTACATGCCAACACATAATCAAGTTTGCCTAGGAGAGGGTCAAGGAGTGCGGAAGTGGCTCTCACAGCCCCGAGCAAGCCACAGAAGGGAGTTCAGTCCTGGGAGCTCTGACTGCGGCAGCGCTCAGCAGTTGTGGCCGTCAGGTAAGGGAGTCATGTTCAGGCCACCACTTGGAGCCAAAACTGGAACCTCCCAGGGAAAGCACAGATTGGGTGTATAGGTTTAGTATGTCCTTTGTACCTAAGCTGTATCTGAAAAATCTTACTGTTTGATTAACAGACTTTCCTATAATCTGCTATATATTAGTTTGGCTGTCCTAACACCAAACAATATTAAAGTATAAGTTTAGGCAGTTCAAGGCCAATATGGTAACTTTACAATGATCAAGACCCAGGCTTTTATTCTTTTTTTTTTTTTTTTAAGATTTTATTTATTTATTTGAGAGAGAGAGAGAGAGCAAGAGCATAAGCTGGGGGTGGAGGGTGGTAGGCAGAGAGAGATGGAGAAAGCAGATTCCCTGCTAAGCAGGGAGCCTGACATGGGGTTTGATCCCAGGACTCTGGGATCATGACCTAAGCTGAAGGCTGATTCTTTTTTTTTTTTTTTTTTAAAGATTTTATTTATTTATTTGAGACAGAGAGAATGAGAGACAGAGAGCATGAGAGGGAGGCGGGTCAGAGGGAGAAGTAGACTCCCTGCCGAGCAGGGAGCCCGATGCGGGACTCGATCCAGGGACTCCAGGATCATGACCTGAGCCGAAGGCAGTCGCTTAACCAACTGAGCCACCCAGGCGCCCTGAAGGCTGATTCTTAACCAACTGAGCCACCCAAGAACCCCAGAGACTTTTACTCTTATTGCTCTGCTATCCTAGGGTGTGGTCCTTGTCATCACAATCCAAGATGTCTAATTATATTCAGCAGCAACATGAAAAAAAAGGGGGGGAGAAAAACATGTTCTTTCCCTTTAAAGCTACAACCCTCCGGTTGCATACATTGCTCTGCCCCCACCCTAAGACCTGGAACACTCAGATGCAAGGGAATCTACATGATGGAATTAATTCTGAGTGTCTGTATAAAGACCTGCTAAAGTTCTGGGGTTTACTTGCCGAAGGAAAATAGTTGGAACTCCCTGAGCTGAAAATTTCTCCTACTTGAAATATTGGTGATTGCTTACACTCTCCAAGGTGGGTGGGTGCC